GGGGGGGGGGGGATCTTAAGATGGGGGTCGAGTGTTATCTAACCCGTTAATAATTTATATTGGTAATGCAGGGTTTCAGGTAATGTGGGGGACTGTGGAATTGAGATAAAAAAGTTTTAGTCAAGTAGATTTTGGGGTTTTACGCTGCGGTGGGGATGGAAAAGTTTATGGAGGGTTGGCAAAAGTTTTGGGTTATCGGCCGGTATATTCAGGTTACTACTGGTTACCTCTTGTTACATTATATTTAATAATCGAAATTAGTGGGATATTTGAAATTCAGTGGGGATGTGGTGGAGTGAAATAAGTTATTTCTGCTGTGAAGCGAGTATTTGATAAAAATGTTTGAATTCAAGGGAGATGACGATATTTTCTGGGTATTTCATTAATTTCCCTGGAGTAATTGAACTGAAATTTGCTGTTTACACAAATTTTTCCGTTAAATTATTAATTGTAGCAATCATGAATCACTGACTTCTTATTGAATTAAAAATTCAAAAGTATATTTACCTAAATTCGATTGATTCCTATTCATTTTCATGAAATTATTGAACTCATGTGCAGGGTTGCCAGATTTTGGCGATTTATAGCCAAAACCTGTACAATTTTAAATGGGGTGACGTCACGATCTGGTAATACTGCTCATGTGAAGTTCCTGTTTTCATTCATTCATTCGTTAAATTGTAAATTTTTCATTATGAAATTTCGTGAAGTTTCAGTGAATCTGTCAGTTGATGAACATGTTCGAGAAGTGGACCGGCAATTTCAAGCGGAGAATTTTTCAAAGTACAATTTTAAACATATAATAATGGCCCACATTCGAATTTCGCAGTATTTCATAAAATGATCGCTTCGCACTTAACATCCCCGTCACTATACACTTCACAGTAACAATTATATCCATTCATTTTGAATTACTGAATAACCCATCCAATCACATCTTTCAGTGTCATATGCAAAAGCCACAAGCAACATGAAACCTTCACTTTTAGATATCCACGATGAATTCCATGTCAGTCTCGTAATTGGTTAAATGCAGCCACACCGACGATTCGAGTTCAAGCACTTGCATCTCTAATTTCAAATGCAGATGTGTATCCGAAATAATTTCATCGCAAACTTGATGGGCGCTTGAATTTTACCATCGACATTTGACATTGATATTCACGGAGAAGCCAACGAATTTAGCTGCGCTCCGATTGGCCCATAGCTATACGCAACACATTTGAAATTTATACTACCGCCATTTCGGAGTTATGAGGTATACAAAGGAGGTATACGCACAGATTCAGTCGGAGTTCAATTATGGTTTTGGTTATGAAAATTGTAATTCCGAGCAAATTACGCAATTAATTTAACGAGTAGCGCCCTAATAACCTACACTGGAGGATGTTTTGGGGCAGAAGAATTACTCCTACCCAACAACTATATATTTCACATACGAATATTTTAGCGACAAGTACAGATTTAATGGGGGAAATTGAACAATTTTAATGAAGTAGTTAGAACTTTTCTACGAACTTATTTTTTTCGTCAAATATCATCATTTCATTAATATTATTGTCTGTAGAGAACATCCGAATTAGTTGATGACATTCATTTGATCTGGAAAAACCCTGGATAATTAGACACGGAGAGAAAAAGACGTTTCAAATTATCCCCAATTCTTAGAATTTATTTCGAATAAGATCCCTTTGTTTTTAATAAAAGGCGTCCCTCAAAGGATGACCTTTATTTTTACGCCAAGAACATGATTATGCATAAAAATATGAGTACCAAAAACCCATTGAGCCATCCCACCCTGTTTTACAATGTCGCTCGACAAGACCATCCTCGAAAACCTCATGAATTATGTACCATGTTACAAGGGAGCCGACTAACAGCGACTTGCGGTCTCAACGGTTTATGGCAAAGCCGTAATTTCAACGCCCTCGATATTAGCCGAACTGTGTAATCTCCAAGCATTCCATTTCGAGCTAACAAAATCCTCCATCATATCTTCTCATTATTCTCAGTATTACCAAATCCCCACATTTACAATTCCGTCGATCTTTCCATCTACATTGTTAGAGAAAAAATTAAAATTTGAAGGGAAACCAAAAATTGATGAAAATAATGAAATTCCACATTACACTGACAATTCAATAAAATTCTTAATTTTTAAGGGGCAGGAAGATGAGAATTTCCCGACTCACTTGAATTTCCAACTAAAATATGAAGGTGCGGTACAAATTTACACTGAATTGCCGATTAATCACAAATTCAAGAATGTATTTACGTGAATTTCCTTGATTTCTGTTAATCTTCGCGGTATAATTGAACTTGAATTCCAAATTTCCATTGATTTTCCATCAAATCAGATGAAGAAATTCCTTGGAATCACGCATGAAAAAATTTCATAGAAAAACCTAGCGAAATCGATAGAAAATTCTATTGAATTCTATTTTCAGCCAATTCCATTGCAGAAGTTCGCTGCCTTACGGCGCTTTTTTTCTTAGAGAGTATGTTTAAAAGAAACTATTTTCTATTGTCTATTTTGTATGGGAATTTATCGACATAAATTCTCAAAGATTTTCCCCTCTATTTTCATTCTTTTCTCATTAACCTTATCAAACAGAAAACCTTCGAAAATTTCAGCCCACGAATTTTTATAAAAAATATCTGAATACCATAAAGCCAAAAGCAAAAGAAAGCTCAACAGTAATCTAATAGAATTCCCGATCTAATTCGCAATATTTTTCTGTGAAATTTTGTTACGTAAGATGTCACTGGTGCTGTCACTCGATGAAAATTTTCAAAAAGTGTACCAGAAATTTCAACCAAAAATTGTTAACAGTATGCAGTTCTATTCCACACGATCTTTTCGCTCGGTAATCACACGACAAGGACAACAGATATTCGACGAAATGGCAGATTACCTCGGCCCCTGATTTAGCGTCTAAAATTAAACCCGGAGATTACCAGCTGATTCGCTCCACCCCCCGGAACTAACACGCGTGGTCCTAGAAATGCATTTCAACGAGAGCCAACAGAGGGGATGAAAACGAGGACCGCTATTCTGCACTTGCGAGATGCGGGGTAGCACGAGACTGTATAAGGGCGCACAGTTGTCCACATGTTTGTAGTCTCCCCAACACGATCCGCGGCAAAGCCTCGCAATTCGTAAATGTCGATCGGCCGATACTAAATATAAGTAATATAATCACGGAAATTGGCTACCAAATTTCTGAACGATCGGTAATATCGGGGACCTTAATCTCCCACGATTTTTATTACGAATGATGAGCGCAGTTAATGGACTATTCGTGTTCCCTCCTCTCCCCTTTTCGTCTGTTCCCCTTTTTTCATTCTGTGAGACACGTAAAATGGAGTATGACACATATTTCACGTTCATTACCTGTTGTAAATGCCGCGGAGCTCATGTGGGCCGCGTGGAGCAGGACCCATGACACCAGGAGAATTGTCCTAGAGGTCATTGTCAGACCGCAAATTATTCTACACAAGAATCTACACACTGCACTTATATTATTAGGTATTTTCAGATGCACTATCCTGCGGGATTTTTCCCGAATTGAAGTCTCAGGAGTTTTAAGTTCCTTCGAACAGTTCCTCACTCTCCAATGGAGCATCCTCAACAAAACGAGAAATATTTCCTTCTCACCAGGTGAAACTCCAGGATTTTAAATTAAATTTCACTGGCTGTCAGAACAAAATTCACTCGCTAGGAATTTTATAAAATATTATGTCCACTTCGAACGTGATAATAACATCCAAATAATCCATGATGATCTCCTGTAGCTCACGAGTCCGGAATTAATAACCAGAGTGCGTCACAATTCCTTCGAAAGATCGCGCGCGTTCGGTACACGAGGGTCCGGAAGGTGCGGAAGCGCGTGCTGCCACCGCTCACGGGAGACGCTCGGCGTCGACTGATATCACTCGGGAGCGTGGTGTCCCAGTGTCTGTTGTTCTTCGGCGCTGCGCATCGGCCGAACGGTGGTGTTCCACCAGCCAAGTGGTAAATCGCAACCTACCACCGAGTACACCCAATCCCAGGGATTGTGACGCCGCCCACCAACTCCAGCGGAGGCGGAGCGACTCGTGGAATTAAGATTTTTGAAGATCTCAGGCTGTTATGGGAAGTTTTGGGGGACTTCGAGGACGGCTGAAGGTCACCGGTAGAGATTGGAGAAGGCGTCGGGGACTCTCGGGCCCTTTTTCAAGGTCATCGCGATTTTTGGCGATTAGGAGTCGTCTACAGGGGATTATTCCACCTTCGAGCTACGTGTTGCACAATTCAACGGATACTGAAGGTTCTGGTTGAGGCAGAAATTGAGATGGCGTCTAGGAAGGAATTGATACGTCTTTCGGGGGAATCTACTAGTTTCACTGAAAACTGGGTGAGGGGTTGATTATGTCAAGTCAGTTTTATAGAGTGAAGATTATATTTTTGCAGGATATAAATTCAAGAAGCAACTTTAATTTTTTTAAAGAGAAAATTGTTATCGTCGAAATTGCACAGTTTCTCGGACACTTCCTTTTGGGAAAATAAAATTTCTTTTTCGTCAATAGATTCTGTAGGTAGGTTATCGTATTGTTCTACCGAGAGGGTTTCATGAGCCATTTTTTCCTCAATTTTCAATTTTTTCAATTTTATTTGAGATTAAAATTCCAACTTCATTCACATAAATTTGAACTACATTTCGGGATAGAAATGTAGAAAAAATAAATCATGATCCGCTTACTGATTAATTTCCTACGCGTAAATCCATGTTTTATTCCCGACCATTGGTCCTTTTTTCTCGCCGTCTAACACTGTAAACATTTTATCTAAATCAAGAAACATCTTCAGTTTTGGAAGAATCAATTTTGCTGCGCTGATGACTCCTCACAACTCGTCTCATAACCGAAATCGACTAAAAATTGCGCCATAAATACACCAATACTGATGAATTATGACCGAGAAATGCCGCCACAACAATGACCCCTTAATTTAAATTCCCTCCGTCAAACCGCCCATATTTCCTTCTGTTTTCTACTGTAAACATTTTATCTAAATCAAGAAACATCTTCAGTTTTGGACGAATCAATTTTGCTGATGACTCCTCACAACTCGTCCCATAACCGAAATCGACTAAAAATTACGCCATAAATATACTGAAGAATACTGATGAATCATGACCGAGAAATGCCGCCACAACAATGACCCCTTAATTTAAATTCCCTCCGTCAAACCGCCCATATTTCCTTCTTTCGTAACAATCTCCACAAGAAGTTTCACCATTTTTATCATGTGTAACAGGGTGAGATTATTTTAACATCACTGTTTTGTATGTGCACCATTTCCCTTCAGGGAGAATGCGTGACGTGCCTCGAAACTCGGATCTCTCTTATCTTATTTTTGTCTAGTTTCTTCGTTCTCAAACATACACATCATTCTGCGCGAACGAGACGCCTACTTGCTAGTCATTTCTGACTCGACACACCGGAAGATGGATGGATCTGCAAGTGTAAGGATGTACGAAGAGAAGTGAAACAGTCTCGGGGAACAACCTTGGATAAATAAAAACTAAAAAAAAATGCGAACGAGCTGGAGTAGTGGGGGAGGCTTTCATTTCGTTGATGTAAGTTTGAAGCTTGCCTCGTTGAGTTTCCTGATGGGCATCGCGTCCGCTCGGTGAGACTCCGCGAAGCAGAAGGGAGCCAACCTGACGTGTACTTCCATAAGCTCATTTGGAAGTGTACACCTTCAGAAAAAGAAGAAAATCACCGTCAATCTCCGATTTTCTCGAGAGGTTTTGAGAGATTACGGCTGTTATCAGAACTTCACTTCCAATGTGGCCTGATGGGATTGGAGAATGGGTGTTAGGGATCATTCGTCGAAGGCCGTTGATGATTCGGTGATGATAACTATCAAGTTATTAATTAAGTTATTAATTGATCACAATTAATGAGGATGTAATGCCATCACAGCTAAAATTATTGGAAAATTATAAATTCTCCAATCTCTTCAAGTATTTTATTGTCCATTGATTTTTACTTTGATCAGTGAATTTGCTTGTTCAGCTGAAAATGAAAAATATCGAATGTCAAGTTCAATAAAAGATATGTTAAATAAACGTTTTATTTGTTTTTCTTTGAGTTAATTTAATAATTGTTGTTCACAGGCTGAACCATCTTCAATTGTAGATTCTTCAATTCCATTTTTTCAGGTCAATCTTAATTTCCGTTTGTTGCGAGCTTTATAAAGATTATCAAAACCATAAAATGACACAACAGCCAGAGTAGTGATTCATTAGAATTGAATAAACCTTGCTTGAATTAAATACCTGAGTTTATTCAAATAATTGCTAATAACGCTTCTTGCAAAATTACATTCGGTTTCCATTTCTCTTTTCATCGACATTAAATGAATAAATTATCTATTTCATGTAATTAAACATCAAATCGATTAATTGAAATCCGTTAATTCCAACAGAATTATTGTCGAAAAGATCAGAAAAATTTCCGATAGAAAGTTTTATTTGATTCAAACGGATTCTTTCTCAGAGTTCACTTAGGAAGTGAAACAAGTAATTAACAAGGCAATCGAGGCGATCACCGATGAAACAATCGAAGCCAATGTACATTGTGCCATAAGGAAACTAATGAAACAATGGATACAATGAAATCGTAATGTCCCCATCGTTTGGTTTTACGCCAACTGCTCCAATTGAATGTACATTACAATACCAAATTACCGTGCTCCTTCTGTTTTTCTTCTAGCGCATTGCAATTCTGTTTTATCAATTTTCCCATCTTGCATCCATCATCGGAAATTTAATGGTTCATTCGCATTGGGGAATACGAATTCGCTCCTCAATGATTGATGTAGATTCAACCCTACAGGTTACCATCAGAATTTATAAATGATATGGATTGGTATAACAAGTTGATGGGAGTTATAATGCGCCCAAAAATGTATTCAAGTTCTGGTTTTATTCCCAGGCGGTATTAAACTTTGGATGCGTATTACTCAATCATCTCGTGGAATAAAATGAACAGAACGAAATTTTCACATGAGTGATCCATCATGGACCGAACCAATAATTTCTTGAGCAATCCCCTACACAGAAAAACCTAAACGTATTTTACATTTTGCTAAGTGTAATGTACGGTTTGTTGAACGTATTTTACGTTTAGGTTTTCCTGTATTTTTTTAGTTTTCATGTGATATTCTAATAACGGAGGAGTTACCAACGCGATTAAAGGGTAACAGAGCGCCACTAATTCCTGAAATTCTTCAATTGTATTGTGCCCGGCTCATATCTGGGAGACCCGGGTTCGATTCCCGGCTGGGTGAAGCGAAAATTTTTTCTCTCTAAATTCTAATTCTCTTAGAATTTTTTTTGTAATACCCCGAGACAAAAAAAATGAAAGTGTTAAGCTTTACAGGATAAAAATTTTCCGGCAAAACTTGTCACACTCATTTCTTTGCAGGGAAAAATATCATTTAACGTTCATTAGAGACAAAGATGATATACGAAGATAGTGGTTTACCCGAATCCTTCACTGTACCCAGAATTTCACTCTTGTCAACCGGGGGGCTGGCGACATGCAACGAATATTGGATCCAGTTATTACTTTCTCGACTTTTCACCAACACATTTTACACCATCCTCCCTGCGAATCGCATTCCTGGCATGTATCCTGACGATGCTCCTTACCTACCGCATCACGTCTACTCATCGACTTTTCCTCCAACTTGACACTAGATTGAAAAAACTCTGGATGGATATAAATAATAAGGATCTATCCATAAATCTATACTGAGCAAACGTGCTCCCCACTAACGCATCAAAGCTTAGGAAGGGCAAGGATCCAGCTCTCCAATTAATTAATTACAAACCTTTCAATCAATTAATTACAAACCTGAAAATAAAATTCTGTTGTCGTCAATATATCTTCCCATCAAAGGAATCCGATACCCTGAATAATGTTTCCGTACCGCCAGTTCAAATGATGTCCCAGACAATTTTAATATTCACAATAAAACTTTCTGCATAATAGAAACCTTCAAATTTCTTCCTTCGAATTCGTTGATTCCCCACAAGTGAATTCATTCCCTTTTGATAAAATTTATCTTTACGTGTAATTTATACTTTTTGGAAAGAAGTAATTTGTCCCTTCAGTGTATTGACATCTCATTCTCAAAATGAACAATTGAATTGCCCACAGTATATGCGCAGGTGACGGATGGCCGTGGGGTCTAGGGCTTGCGGAGATAGTAGCGGAAGCAGAGAGGAGACAGGTCCGGAAGTTGATAGTCTCCGTTGGTAAGAATCATCTATCATAAGGATCATCACACACTGTAATGGACTTCTCCTATTTTTGATATCGGGAATGCGATAGTCACTGGTTACAGCGGGAGGAAGACAGGGGTTAGTTTCCTGGCCGGATATTAGCTGTCATGCGGCTCAGTGGACAGCACAC